TAGATTGAGGTATATTGAGTTTTCACTGTATAGTATCTTAGAAACTAATGCAGCAAGCAAAACACCCTTCAGAAGGGAAAGCAGTTGGGCTGTATTATCTTATGTACCTAACTTTGAATGCTGGACCAGCTTAGTAAGTTAATTTTTTAAAATTTATAGACTAAGCTGCAGGTTCTTGATGTATGCATACTTGAAAAAGCACAACAATCAACCAAGGAGAAGTAAAGATGAGTGGGTGGTCCTGAAAAGCGTGATTATTCATTCTCTGAATGTGATTATCACTTTGGAGATCGTGGTTAATGGGAATTACACAGCATGCTGTGTGTGAGACCGCCTATTGTCTGTAACCTACAAAAATACAACCTTGAACCACGTGTCTCCTTACTTGTATTTATTTGTCTTGATTTCCCGTGCTCCTTTTCAGCAGCATAGGAAAGTTGAGAAAACATGGATTTTGGTGACAGAGGGCCTGGGACCTTGGGCAAGTTATATATAATCTCTCTGAGCCTCACTTTACCCAGCTTGAAAATAGGAATAATAATGTTTATATACTAGGTTTGCTATGAGCATTAAGAGAAATGACATTCTTAAACTTCCAGCATACAATAGGAATTCAGCCAAGGTTTGTTCCTTTTTCTTTCTTTATTCTAATAAACTCTCAACTACCTAGCACCCATTGGAAAGTTAAACCTTCTAGATTAGTATTGATTTCAAATAGCTGAACAGTTACATTCTGCTTTTTATTTTTTAAATGTTTTTCTATAAATTTTGTTTCTAAAATACATTCTGTGCTCCAGCGCGTCCTTCTTAAATCATTGCACCATACCATGGGTATTTATAGATGGCGTGAAGCAGAGGGCTAAAGCTGCTCTTTCTCCCTGGAGATTGCCAAAATCTACTGGTTGGCGTGCAGCCCAGCCCTCTTTATGGCTGGCTATTCTCTGTGGTCTAAAATGTCTGCAACTTGCCACCACTGTCACAGCTTCTAATTTCTGCTGGCTGCTACTGTTGCTGCCCCCACTCTTTCTTCTAATTACCATTAGGCTTTGCTGGCCCTCTTACAGTTTCTGCTCTCTACTCCCTGCCTTCCTTCACTTTTCACTTGCCATGTCTCTTCTGCCTCCCGTTGCATCTCATATTTCACAGGCAAAGACGGGCATTTCACTGCTTTCTCAAACCAGCAAGAAGAACCCTTCTAGACAGTGAGCCAACTAGTCACAAACATGTTTAATATGGTACTTATCAGCATTTCTACACACACATGGCTCCCCCACCCCCCATACTCTGGGCCCTGGTATTCCAGGTACTTGAGAATGGCAAAATTCAAGTCCCCCAGTTAGTGAGGTATAACTCTTATTTGGTTTTCCTGCAAGTGGTGTATTTTTTTTTAGTCTTATTTAACTTTTATTTTATGCCACGTTTTGTGCTAGACACAAGAGAGAAAGGAAATAGGGGTCTTTAAAGTTAAACTATGCCAAGGTCCTTACCTTCAAAAGAGCAGGAGGACACAGATAGACTCAGATAATACAAAGTAAAAGATGAAGGTGGGTGAGAGAAAGGTTAAGGATTGTGAAGGCTCACGGTTCTGCTTAAATTTGTAAAGAAGAGTGGCTGATTTTAAACCCAGCCTCAGAGACTGGGTGGCAGTTCCGAGACCTACAGGAGTCAGAACACAGGCCGGGCCAGAAGGCAAGGCACTCCACGGTTCTCTACCGTTTTATAGGGAATGGTAAAGAATCGCTTAGGGGAATCATGGGTACATTTTTCCTTTTCTTATTTGAGAGTCTAGCTCTTTAAATTTCCTATATCATTTTGTCATTCATTTGTGTTCCTTATGAATTTTTATTATTTATTTGGACAGAAAAGATATGGAGGCATAGTGTAGGGGTTGCATGTTTCTATGTTTTTGTAGTTTGAATTTTAAGCATGGTTGAATTTGTCTACATCTTAACTTTATTATGTGATTTTGTTTAGTTTAATTCAATGGAGTATTTTTATTTTACCCTAATGCATAATCCCTTACCAAGATTTCAAATGTATGACCAATTTTAATTTATTGGAATCGTTTTTGCTGCTGTTTATAACAACTCCATATTTATTGAATTTGAACATTTCTTTTAAGCTAAAACAGAAAGGAAAGCATAAATAACCATGACAAACAACCCTCTTCTGGTGTGGTCATTTGAAATGAAACAACCAAAAAATTTAATCAACTTAAATTTAGAAAAATTAGCTGATATAAGTTGTAAACCAGATGAGTAAAAGCTTTCACTTACTCATTCTTGACATTCAATTCCATTTATTCTTTGTAATATATTTTAAAACAGAATGTTTATAAAGTCTAAGATTTGGGTTCCTACGTCCTATTTTGAGGTTACCGAGAAAAAAATGTTCAGTCATATTTATGCTTTAAAACAAGTTCCACTTTCATGTACAAAGAGGAACAGCAGAGGTAAAAATTTTGTAGATACAAGATGATGTGTTTTATTAAAGCGCCATGATCATAATAGTAAGTATTGTAATATAGTAGTTGATTTAAAATAATTATTAATAATGATTTTTAAAACTGAACAGGGTTTATATTAGTCATAATCATTGAGTTCATTGATCAAACATTTCTTGAGTGTGTATTATGTGCTAGGCATACAAAAGATGAATGAAAGACGTGTACTTTACATTTGGATCCCTGAAGACTACAATTTGATTAGAGAGTAATTTAAAATAATAAAAGAGTCCTTTCTTTGTTTCACCCAAATGCCTATTCTTTAGACATATAAACAACTCAGAATTGAGGAAAATTCTGAAAATGTCTTTTGAAAGCACTCCTTTTCTCTCTAACACTCTTGGGAGACAGAAAAGATAATAGAATTAGAAGACAACCTGGTTGTCCTTCTCTTCCCCACTTGCCAATCAATTCTGTGGTTGGAGTCATGGTTCTTATGTTCGTGTCCCTGCTCTAACTGATTTCTAGGTGGACATGCTCTACGTTGAAAAATCAAAACTCTCAATATTTCACATTAAACACTGGAACACTTCAGCTCACAGCATCTGAACTCAAAAGCCACAAATTAGGCATGGTGATATGAGGAACATGACAAACAGAAGTAGGTGGCAGGGAGGGAGAACCCGGTGATGCTTGTAATTGTAAGGAGCCGTTTATAAGCAGCCATTAAAATGTCTCTGACAAGATTTTAGAAGACAACCTAATGGGTTTGATAAGTTTTTATTGGAAATAGCTAAGAAAATAGCTAAGAAATTGTAGTCACTTAGAAATGTTTGTAAACATATAGATGGTATTCAGATTCAGAGAGATTACAAATGAATAGTAACTTTTTCCTATTACATGCATGTTCAAAGTACCATGTTCCAGTTATTTGAAAAACCTGCTGACAGATTTTTCATTCTCTAAAGGTGACAGCTAAATGATGTGTTACTATACCTACTTGTTTTTTTTAAGAAACAAGTATGCCTGTAACCTTCAACTAAAAGGCTTATCTCATGTATCTAGAAAAATTCTTAGAAAAATCATCATAAAATATATTTGCAAAGTTCTAAATTTTAGTTTAATCATAATCTATTATAGAATTACAGATTCCTAGATAAAGAATGGCAATATACCCCAAGCTTAGAAACAATATTAAAAACTACTCAAAATTATATTGCTAACTCATAATTTTTTTCACTACTTCTAATTCCTCACAACTAATTTTCTTCAGGGCTTCCCTTATCATATTAAATATTCATCTGAAATCCCATTTTTAAAATAAAATTTGTATCTAATATCAAGTTATTGGATAAGAACAAAATCTCTCATTAGGCACATGGGAAAATTTATCCGCTCTATGCAGCTCTGTGGTGCCTGACACAAACAAAAGCAAAATCATTCTGGAAAGAAAGACCCTCAATTCAGGGAACACAGCACAGAATCTTTCACAGGTTAAAAACCCCACTTAAAATGAATTTACAGTCCAAAATTATGAAGCACACTGGAAGCTACCAACAATAAGCACATCTCAGGCAGCACAACGAAAACCACATGTAGCTCACCGTGTCTCGTCTCCCTCAACTCAAAAGAAATACAGGGACCAAAAAAAAAGTCTATCTACATAAAATGCTCAAACGTATCCAAGACAAATTTTAAAACATGAGAAAAGAGCAAGACACTGTCTTTAAAAGGTGGGAGGATAGGTTTCCAGCAGAGTGAAGAGCACACAGCTGGGGGAGTCCTGACAGCTGTTCTGATTGGGAATTCTCTCTCACAAAATTACGAGGAGAAGGACTTGGGAGTAAGATGGCAAGGGCTCTGGTGGTAAATTGCCTTGCATTCTGTATTAGTGAGGGCTTTTGTTTGCGGGTGACAAAGAGATCTCATTTGTCTAGGGAGTATTTTGTTGTTGGCTCACCTAACGGGGAAAGTCAAGGATATAGTTGGAAGGACAGGAACCGGACTCCCGTTCTCTCTCCATCTCTCACCGCTGCTTTTTCCTTTGTGAATACTTCCTTCTCTCCTAAGCAGACTGGTTTTCTCCAAGAAGTGGAGAACATTGCCACTTGCAGTTCTGGCTCATGCCTTTTACTCTTTTGATTCTCTTTTTCAAATTGTGGGAAAATATGCATATCATAAAATTAACCATTTGAGCCATTTTTAAGTGTGCCGGTCAGTGGCATTTAGTACATTCACACTGTTGTATGATCATCACCACTATTCATCTCCAGAACTTTCTCACCATCCCAAACTGAAATCCTGGACCCATTAAACAGTAATTTCCCATTCCTCCTTCCCACCAGCTCCTGGTAACCATCTATCCAACATTCTTCTTTTCTCCAAGATAGAGCTTGATCAAAAGTTGTTGTGAGCCTCAAAGAACTGATTTCTTTGTTTCCTGTATTTGGGAAACTTATGGAACTTTGTAATATCAGATATGTTTGCTAGAACTTATGTGCTTCCATACTTTTACAATAACTTAGACTTCTAAATGTATTATCTGTTTCTTTTATAGGACAATGAAGGTCAAACAGCTCTACATTACGGTAAGATGTTCTTAAATTATTAATAATCATTTGAAACTTTTCTCGATTTGTTTATCTCAGCTTTGTCCAACCCGATATAGTGCTTAGAAAACTGCCTGGCCACTGGTAGAGATTTAGTAACGTTTTGTTTAAAAAATAGATGAATAATCTCTAAAGTTGGAGATATATTAAAATTCAACCCCCGTAGAAAATTTATTATTTCATTCTTGTTATTGTCAGTGACAACTAAGATGCTCACCATTGTCTGTTAGGAGCTAGATCCTCTCCTACAAGCAATACTTTCTTGATGTAGTTGGAGTGAAGAAAAGTGGATTTTATTTTTTAACTCATTTCCCTTACTAACTAATTAGCCTACTTAAGTAATCTTCACTTAAATCATCTATAAAATAGAGGATAATCTGTAAGATGGAAATAACATTAGCTGTTAAGGCGTACTAGGTAAATGCAGTGAGATCAAAGATATTGAAGTATTTTGTAAACCATAAAGTACTTGTAAAAATATCCTTAACTTTTATTCCATTTGGGTGTGAATATGGTTGAATAAATGACAGCCATTGATATTTAAACCAGAGTAAGGATCAACCACCTTCAGAATTTTGGGGAGGGGATACATTAGGTTGTTTTGCTGATTTTGGCAATCCTAGACCGCCGTTGAACCCTAAGTGGCCCAGATGCCCCTGGGCACATTTGTCCTCTGCTTAGCATTTGTTTGGATGTCAGGGACCTCACTGTGTTGTCTAGGAGCCTAAACTGTTGGGCTTGATGTTATGGTAACTATATTTCTCAACCTGATAAGGAAGATTGACATGTTACCAAGTCCCCACTCATTTATGGGTTTAGCTAGTAGAACCTGGGCACCAAAACCTACAAGAAAAAGTAAATTGTGAGTCAATCTTACTATTGAACATACATGCAAGAATTCTAAAGAAACTATTAGCAAATGAAATCCATCAATGTATTTTAAATAGAAAGATACGTTATAATCAAGTTGACTGTATCCCAGGAATTCAAAACTGATTTAACATTTTTAAAATTTATTAATGTATTCTAATTTGCCACATTAACAAATTAGGTAAAAAATCATATGGTCAAATCAAATGCAGAAAAAACTGAAATTCAGCACTTATTCTAAGAAGCAATATGGAAAAGTGATTATAACCTTGGGATCTTAAGCCAGACTTCTGGATTCAAATTCTAATTCTACTACTGAACTTAGACAATTTAACACCACTGTTCCTGTTTACTCATGATGAAATAGGGATAAAAACTTAAGAGATATGTTATGAGCTTGGGTTAATCCATGTAAAGTGCTTCGAACAATGTCTGACACCTGGTATGTACTCAATAAATGTTAGCTAATACTACTTTTTATGATGAAACTCTTAATAAATTAGAAATGTAAGGAATCTATGATAGCCTGATTAAGTTATATATCAAAAACCTAGTGCAAGCATTATTATTAAAGATGGAATATTTGAAGCATTTTCTTTAAAATCAGGAACAAGAAAAGGATGCCTACCATAACTATTTCTCTTTAATATTGTATTAGAATTCTAAACTACACAGAGTGAAAAGCAAAAGAAATAAAAAGTAGGAGGGATGGATAAAAAGAAACAAAATCATCATTAATCTCTAACAATCTAAGTAGCTACATAGAAATACAAGAGACTCTCAGCCATAAAGAAGAATAAAATCTTACCATTTGCAACGATATGGATGGACCTAGAGAACATTATGTTAAGTTCGATAAGTCAGTCAGAGAAAGACAAATACCATATGATCTCACTTATATGTGGAATCTAAAGAACTGAATGAACGAGCAAAGTAAACAGAAATAGTCTCAGAGATATAGAGGGAAAACTGATGGTTGCTAGTTGGGAGGGGATTGGGGATGAGGGAGAAGGGGAAGGGATTAGACAGCATAAATTGGTAACTACAATATTGCCACAGGATATGAAAAACAGTTCGGGGAATATAATTAATAATGTTGTAAATATTTTGTAGGGTGTCAGATGGTCACATGTCTTGTTAGGGAGACCACTTCATGGATGGGGTAGAGGCTTGATTACTGCACTGTACACCTGAAGCTGATGTTGTATAATATTGTATGTCAACTATAATTGAATATATATATAGTCACAGGATGTGGAGTATAGTGAGTGGAGTCAATGGAATTGTAATAGAGATGTATGATATGGGGGCGGGGGAGAGTGGGGCGGCGGATTGGGAGAGGGTGTTGTCACTTTGAGGGGTAAAAAGTATATTGCACTGTGTTGTATACCTGAAACTAATTTAAAAAAAGAAAAAGAAATACAAGAGACTCTACAGCCAAATTATTAAAACTAATAGTACAGTGTTTAGCAAGGTTGCTGAATACAAGATTAATTCTTAAAAATTACATTCTCAAACATTAGTATAAAAAGGTAGAAAATGAAAACACTTTAAAGATATTTTTATGATAGCAACAAAATTCTAGCACTCAGCTTAGCAAAAGATATGCAAAACCTTCATAGAAAAAACATGGTGTTATTTTTTTAAGACTTTTGAAAAAGACCTAAATAGGAGAAATAGTCCATGTTAATGAGTGAGAAGACTCAATATCATAAAGATGGATTCTCCCCAAACTAAACTACAAATTGAGGGAATTTTCATAAGAATCCCAGCAGGCTTTTTGTGGAATTTAACAAGCTTGTCCTAAAATGTATATGGAAGAACAAAAAGCCAACAATAAGGTACTTTAAAGAAAAATAAGAAAGAGGGACTTGTCCAAATATCAAGGTGTTATTTTAAAGCTATTAATATAATAATGAAGGAAGAGGTTGACTTCTGCCATGACAGAGTGAGAAGCTCCACTGACCTGCTCCCCTAGAAACTAGTGAAAATCATTTTAAAAATACAGCCATTTAAAGCTTCTGGAAATGGTCCTAAGGACAAATAGAAAATGAAGAAACCTCCAGTCATGAAAATCAGTGAAAATTTGCAAGAGTCTACATACATATATACATACATATTTTGTTACCAAACACCTTTGAAAGATAAACCGTTAAAACCGTGCGTATACAGTAGAGTGTACAGGTAATGGAAGCTCTAGGCTCCCTTCCATAAACAGCCCTCTAAAGTAGTTATTATTTTCCCCGTTTTATTCATGAGGAAACCAAATTGCAACAATAAATTTACCTAAGGAAACCAGAAGTTCAACCCTGTATCTCTAGATTGACTAGGACAGGAGAGAGCAATGGATGCCTTCCCCATGCCTCCTTCCACAGCGCTCCTGCAGGGTTCCCACTCCTCCAACATGTGTCTAGGATAACTCTGTCATAGAGCTCTTCTAACCTCACCAAGAGTTGGCCATTTGAAACCCTAAAGTTCAACTCAGAAAACTTGCCTTGGCCACCTCCACGGCTGAGATGCAATCTGGGACAACCAGGTGTAAGTCAAACAGAAAATTAGAAAGGAGAAAGAAGAAACTCATCGCAGTGATTGTGAGGCCTTCGGTGCAAAATTCAAGGCTGCCATGTTTTCCAGATGCCTGGCTTTAAGTGGGCTTTGGCTTTTGCTCCAAAACACTTGCCATGAGGTCCAGCGTTGACGGCTCTGCTTAGAAAGACAGCCCTGCCGGTGCGTCCATGCGCATTGCTGAACCTGTTATTTCTCCCCTCATTCCTTCTTGCATCTGCTCATTCCCACATTTTTTAGTGCCTTCTCTGTGGCATGTGTTGTGTTTCCCTTACATTTCTCCACCCAGAAACTGTAGAAACAGCTAAACCAGACCGAATGTGCCCTTGAGAATGTAGACGAGTCACTCTGTCATCTCTAGTTAGCCATTAGGGGCGAATGCCTTTATGGCTGTGGGATTGGGTCCATTTGGTTTGATATATGTAAAATGCATTTCTGAGTAGCAACAGGGTTGGGATTTTTCACAAGGTCTTTCTGACTGGCTTGAAAAATAAGCTATATTTTTTTATGTACTTATATGGATAAAATCTCATAAGGTATATTATTAAGTGAAAAGATTATGGTTTATTCATTCAACAAATATTTATTGAGCCCCTACTGTTTGCTGGATAAACTATGCCAAACATCCTTTTTAAGATAAGGGATGCCCCAACTTTGGGTGTCCTTCACCTCCCACCCCATAACCGTAGTGGTAAGTGTGTGAGCTAACACTGGATCTAATCTGGGAAAACGATGGGCGTGGGTTTCAATGCCAGCAAACCTGGATATGAGGCAGAAATAATAAGGAGTTGGAACTGAGACCCTGTACATAAACCATGACCTTCAAAGGGCTATATCCACAGTTAAAAAAAAAATTATAATAGATCAGAAAAAGTTGTCCCATTAGTATAAGGAAGGAAGACAAAGAAGTTTATCTCCTGCGGACCAGAATCTGGGTGGGGAAAAAAAGCCCCACTTCACCCAAGTTTGGGGTTTAAATCTATACCCTCTGTTTCAGAAACCTTCAGGTCAAGAAATTAACATAATAAGTGTACTAGGCTGGTTACCCCTGAGGGACCTGGCAGAAGCAAAAGCTAAACTTTTCTTGAGGGACACATTCTCAACCAAGACAGCACAGAATTCCCATATAAGGAAGCCCCGCTGAAAATGAGCTCACAATCCAAAATTACAAAATACACTTGAGTGAATATCAGCAGACATCGTAAACCACAGGATTAGACTTTAAGGAACTTACGTAAAGCTACTAGATAGAAATTATCAAAATAAATGTATGTAAAATCAAGGAATCAAAGACATAAAAACAAGACACTAGAAAGAGGAACAGGCTTTTTCCAAATAGAACTGAAATAAATTTTAAAAATACAGAAATCTTACAATGGATAGGTTAAAGTGCAGAATTGGCACAAGTTTAAAAAATGGTAAACTGAAAGATAGTTCTAAAAGGCAGCACAGAAAGATAAAGAAATGAAAATGTAAGGGACACATTGAGAATAGAATGAGAACATCCAGCATTTTTTAATAAGAGTTCCGGAAGGAGAAATGAG